GGCCTTCTCGTCGCCGTCTGGTGGACGTGTTGTCTCCCGCCCCAGGCCTCGCTCCCGGGAGGGCCCCACGGACGTCCAAGGCCTCGCTGCATGCTGTGCTGGAGCGCGGTTTTGCACTGATCCCTCCCAGCTGCAAGGGAGGTTGCTTTCCGCGCTAATGCCAGGAAAATGTGCGTTTTTTTCTTTTAAAACGTGGAGGTGCGGGCCACCGAACACCCGATGTGGCGGCAGAAAAAACCTGTCTGCCAAGGCCTGACCGAAGTGCTGGCCGGGCCTTCTGGCCTAAGCCTTGGAGGCAGGCAGCACCTGTACAGCCACAGACTGTTCACTTGTGAATGAAAACATGAGGAAAGGAAAACAACTTTTTTTTTTTTTTCTTAAATACAGGCAGGTATCCCAAAATGAGTGAGAACCTACTCTGTTTTAAAAAAAAGTTCATTTTGGCAGTTTTTATACTGTTAATATCAGACGGAGAGAAGTCCTGTTCAAAACTACTGTTAATGTGAACTTTTTTTTTTTCTCTCCCCCTCTAAAGGAAGGGTTTCTCCTTGGAGATGTGAAAGGTGAAGCCAAGAACAGCATTACTGACTCACAAATGGATGATGTTGAAGTTGTTTATACAATCGGTTAGTCTGTCCACATTTCTAATACCACGCTTGATTTCAGGCAACTATATGACTGCTTACAGTTTTGAATGAGGGCAGTCAACACCTTACAGCAAGATCAAAGCTGCTACATCCTGGAGTCCACGCCGATTAGGAAAAAAAAACACATGGAAGGGTTATTTTGTAACATTTTAATTGCTTAAAAAATACAATTTTACTATAGAAAATAAAATAACAGAAATACCATTTCTTAGTTCCTTGAATAGCTCCACTTTGCTAAATACTGTCACATTAAAGGTAATTTAGGGCTTAGGCTCCTTCTTTGTCTTCACCATGTCACAAACTCTCCTGGACTACAGTTGCCCTGGAAAAACTTGGCCTGTTTCAGTGAGGTGAAGTGTAACGTGTTAGCATCTATTACTGAATTTGGAGCTTATAAAATACTGTTGTGAAGGCTGCAAACTATTTACATACTTAATTGAGCAGATGCTAGATATATTTTTCTTTATAGTCTTCATGGGATTGGAGTGGATATGCATTTTATACTAGCCCTTAACAAAAACGCATATACGTGCACAGGCATGTAACTCCATTCCTTTAAAATGCAGGTACACAAAAAGAGAACAAGGTGCCTTCTTTCCAATCTTCCTGAAAACATGGTAGTGAGAAACTGCATCCCATTTTATAGTTTTACTCTAGGATACAATTAAAATGTAACACTTTCCTCCAGTGAGTCTCACAGCTGAACCAAAAATGTTGGGGAATTTTTTGTGGTGGCATTGATCAAGTTACACAGAGTCTCATCATCACATTCTCACAGGCCGAGTTAGTTGCTCCAAAATTTGTGGTTTGGTGGGGTTTTTTTTTTTTTGGTTGGTTGGGGTTTTTTTTAGTTAACTTGTGAAAATGAAAGTAGTAGAGAATTTAGGTGAAGAAAAGGATTAGAATGCCATTAGATCACCTACCAGGTTTTTTTCTGGTAGTCAGTGTTCCAGTTCTCATCATCTACCCTATGGGTTTCTATTCTCCAGCCTCATCTTTCTCACTAACAGCATCCATGCCGTGCTGCAGAGTAACTCAAGTTAAACTTTTAATATTACATACTACTCCTGTACTTGACAGAAGCGATGGAAAAAATAAAGTGGCTAATTTGATTTTTTTCACTTGACAAAACAGAAAAAAGTATTTAAAAAAAATACAGTTCATATAAGTGGTTCTGTTTACATTTGAAAAATGAATTAAAGTAATTTTTTAAAAATGTTTCCTTTCTTAACCTTAATTAGGTATTAGTGCATTTGATTTTAAGAAATTATATTATACATAATTCTTGGTTCTACCAGTTTAATTCTGATTATAGCATACAAAAGAATATACATCTTGAACTTATGAACCCAGAGTAATATTACTTTCTCTTTCCAGATATACAGAAGCATATTCCATGTTACCAGTTGTTCAGGTAAGAATCTTAAGTAAACAGATATGAAAAAGTTAAAATTAACCCTAACGTGAACTCTTTAAGAGTTAAATTTATATTACATTACTGAGAAAATCACCCAGCTGTAACTACATTAGCCATAGCAACCCCTTGGAATTACAGATGCAAAATGCATTATGTTATTCCTATTTTGGTTCTTCATGTCCTTTTTTGGTGTTTATCTATGCATATAGAAATAGAAATATGGCATAATGCACCTTCTGGTGAGCTATAATACCATATAAACTACAGAATAACGTCAACATACTGAAAAAAAAAAAAAAAGCATTGCTTTTCTAAAAGCATACATCCCAACACCTCACCCTCAAAAAAAAACAAAAGAGAAATAAAACATAGCATCAGCCATGAGCTTCTAAGAGGGTCAGAAAAAGAAACACTTGTTAGCCCCAAGGCAGGAGTAGTTTCTAGGACTAGTATTTAGAGTTCCATCATAGATGGGAACACAGCTGTACAGTTTACACCCCTGTGAGGGGAGAATCACAACATAATTTCTTTCTCAAATCTTTCTGAAAATTGATAAGCCCAGATGTTATTAGAAAGGCATTTTGTATCATATTGAAGGCATCTTACTATTTTGTAGTAGAGAAAACATAAATGCTACCTTTAACTTGTTTCCCAGTAGCACTGATGCCAGAACAGCATCTGGGCTGTACAAGACCACCTGCATAGCTATTTGTGTAATGAAATTAACTGCACTGTCCTAGCAGAGCAGCTGTGTCAGCGTGTCCTTATGCTTACCAGGGGAAAAAAGCTATTAAAGATGATTGCCAGACTGCTAGGGAATAACTCTTTCTACAGCAGCATTTTTGTTCCTCTAATTATCCTAATTTTCTTCTAGTTTTTATAATTCTGCAGGAGAACTGAATGAACTTGCCCTGAAGAAAATACTGTCAGGCTGTAAGAAGGTATTTTATTTTCAAACCTAAACCATACCAAGGATCTCGCTCAGATTTTGGGGGCTGTTCTGGATACCTCTTGTATCAAGTTTTCTTTCCTCCCCTCTTTTTAAATTTTTTATTTAGTCCCTCACACTGCTGATCAAGGCAGCTGCGTCACCTTTCGCCCCTGAAAGCAGGTTATTTTTTACTAGGGTTTGCCCACATATATGTCATAACTTCTTTTTCTTATTCATTTCTCAAGTGAACAGTTCAAATATACCAAAAGAATTCTACTGATTCCTATCTTAAGATCAATTGAGGTCAGCTCACTTAAGTGGTTAAGCACCACTTGACAAAAAAAAAACCCAACAAAACTCTTCTCCACAGAATAAAGTTTCACAAGGGAAAAGTAGAAGCTGGAAAGAGACAAACAGCAAAATAACAGAACCAAGTTTGCAGAATTTCAGCTTGAGCACAAGCTCAGAAAACAGGCCAGTTCAACACATGGTTTTGAAGGACAGAGAGAAATTGTCATACTGGAATTAGGCTTAGATGTTTTAAGAGTTTGAAGTTAACTAACTGCTTGAATATGTACACATCACCAAGCAATTCAGATTAGTGACTTTGTACTCTAACTTGCTTCAGTATGACACACAGGGACAGCATGATTCAACAGTAATAATGAATTTTCTCTTCTGCCTGCAGAGTGTAATAGGATGGTACAAATTCAGACGTAACACAGACCAGACTATGACATTCCGGGAAACAGTTCTTCATAAGAACTTACAGTCACACCTATCAAATCAGGGCCTCGTATTCCTTTTATTAACTTCTAGTGTGATGACAGAAAGTTGTTCTACTTACAGACTGGAACATGCCTTACATCGACCACAAGAAGGGTAATTGGTTTGTTCTCTACTTTTAATAAAGCAGTAGCACAGCATGTGCTATTAACTTAGAACAGTTTTTCTTTGTTGCAACTGAATTAACACTGTTTATTTTACCCTTGAAACTTACACATTAAATAAGATTACTCCTTATATTGCTAGAACCCAGTTCAAATCTTATCCTAGAGTTCTGTTCAGGGATTTGCCTTTATAACTATCTGTAGTGCCAGTGTCAACAGGCAGACATTGTCAGCTCATTTATGCACATAAGCTGTTCTTGATCAATTTGGTTTTGTGTATAGGATTTCAGTGATGCACGGTGATCATCTTCGCATATCACTGAAATATTGATATTGGTAGCAACTTTCAGTTATCTTCAGAGACATGCTTATTAAGCCTAGCCTGTGGGCACCAAGTATTGCATTATTGACTTATACTCAGAAATGGGAAAAAGCTAGAGGCATTGCTCAGTCTTGTTGCTCTTGCAGTTTGCCTTTAGCCGTAAGTAGTCATCTATGTGCAATGTAATACATTTAGCAAGAACTATACTGTAAACCTCCATCTGGGGTGCTTAATAGTCAAGAAACTTTCAACTATCGAAGAGAGGCCTTCTGGATGTTAATAAATTGTGTTTTCATGCTTCTGTTTTTAAGTCTTTTCCAGAAAGTTCCTTTGGTGGTTACCAACTTGGGTATGGCAGAACAGCAAGGTTACAGAACAGTGTCTGGTTCCTGTGTATCTTCTGGTTTTGTGAGAGCAGTGAGACAACACAGGTACAATATATGTCATATTACTGATAGCTGTAGCTTTCAGTTAAGTATCATTATCTTTCTATGAAAGTTCTTTTGCAAATGCTACAGCCATACCCTGCCCACTTGTTGACCTGTTTTCTGCAGTTTACTTTTCCAAGGTACTTGGAAATTAGTTAAGTCCCATACTTTGCCATGAGAGCAGCTGTCTCTTTCATAGGCACTAGTGCTGAAGCTCAAAATGCTACTTTATTATAGCTTCTAAGTAAGCACTGGGATCATTAACTTGCAATTATACAATTATATTCTTGGTCCACAGCTCAGAATTCTTTTATGAAGATGGATCCTTACAAGAGGTTCATAAGATAAATAAGATGTATGTCACCCTGCAGGAAGAACTGAAGGTAAGACAGGCATACCTGCCAAATAGTTATTTTCAGCAGTACTACAAAAGCAAGCCAAGCAAAGGGTATACCATCTTGCACTAAATGAGAAACAAAGCCGTGTCTTGGAAGGGCATATTGAAAGATCAGGGAGTTCCATTTACTATTAGTACCTGTACACTAAGCTCTCAAAGTTGAAAACTTAAGTTTTCATTTGATCAAAAGTACATTGATAAATCCTCAAGTGTCACAAGAGGATTATTTTGAAGGAGCACTATCTGTAGTTTGTCAGAGCTCCTTTGCTTAGATGGGAACCAGTAAAGGATCTTGTACCTCATTAAACACAAGGTCTAAGTTAGCATCTTTAAAATCTAAATGAAGCTCATTACTTAAGCTTTTTACCACTTTGTGTCCAACTCTTAGTCACAAGTACCTTTAAGGATTTTGCAACAAGGTTAAAGTCAGCTTCTGTGAATACTGTTAATCCTATCAAATGCTCTTTTCCTTGCAGAAAATATGCTCTACAGTAGAAGTCAGTGAACGATCTGTAGAGAAACTCTTAGCAGAAGTGAGCCAATTAAAAGAAGAAATAAAGAAGAAAAAGCAACAAAGCTGTTTGGGTAAGTTAAGTAAATGCAACGCCAGTCTTAGTAATGACTTCCAAAGTTGATTCAACTGGCAGAAGCACAAATCAGTTCTGAACTTGAGGCAGCCAGAACAGTAGTGGTAGAGGTATGCAAAGAAGGACTGCAACTTTAGCTTCTTTTTTTTCTTTTTTTTTTTTTTTTTCCAGAAGACAGAGACTACCCAGGAGAGCCAAAGGAGAATGTTCTCCTTTGTCAGGCACTGCAAACATTTTTCCCCAATTCTGGACTTCAGACATGTATTGTTTCCTTCAAAGGCCAACAGATATCCAAGAACTGCTGTAACATTGACCATAATATTAATGTCACGGACAAACTGACTCTCATGGTAGAAGAGAGAGACTTCACTGAAGCCGAAACAAGACACCTAACCAAGCGTAAAGTCAGAGGGACCACAACAGGATCAAAGTCATTCAAGAAATCCAAATCAGTGCAGCTTCATCAAAAATTACTTCGTGACCAAGAAGACAGTGACCAGGAAAGGAAGCTTACACTGAGTAGTACTGAAACAGATGAGGACATGTTGGAAAAAGTGAGGGACACAAATGAATACCCACACTCTCCTACTTTCTGATCTGTTAATAATTTGTCCAGGTGCCTTTGCACCAAAAGCTACTGCCAGCACATTCAAGTGACATATCAATTTATAGCACTGCAGGAGTTAAGAAAAACAGTGCATTTTTGCAAGACATACAGGTTTGGGGGTTTTTTTTTTCCCCCACTGCATTAATCCTGTTTGGCATAGAGACAAATTCAGATGACATTCCCTCATTTTGCCTTCCAGAGTTAAATCTGTATTAGCTCTCTCAGGGTTTAAAGGCTATGCTAGCAGGATGTTAGCAGTCGTATAATCATGCCTCAGAATAATACAGCTTCAAGCTGCTAGTGAAGAACCAGTACTACCCTTCCGTCAGCAGATGCAGGGAGCATCAAATGAACACAGGTAACATGCTTAACAGAATTAGCTGTCTAGATTAACTGCCACAATTTAAATAATTTATCCTTACCTATCCAGTACTTATTTTTCCCCCCTTCCAATCCAGCAAGGGAAAAACAGCTACCTGAACTTCAGCAAAGACCTGTGACCAGAGGAAGTGGTACATACAGTTGCCAATTTCTACGACTGGCTTTCATCTTTCATACTTTCTTCAGACAATTTTAGAGACTTGACATTTCATAAAAAGCCACTGACATCCACTCTCCATTCAGTGATGTATTATGCTAGCCACATTTCCAATAAACAAGTATATAAACTTGAAAAGTAGTTTTATTGTTTATTTCTTTATAATATATTACTCTGGATATTTGACATTACATATCTTGGGGTCTGTGAGAAATGATGGGTTCTTAAACATAACTGGCATAAGTCCTGTAAAAACATAAGATGAAGGGGTTTTTTTAATAGGAAAGTAGGCTTGACTTACAAAACTCAAAAGCATAATTATACTTACCAAATACATGAGCTCTTTTAATGGCTTTTGAAATTTCCTTCTGCTTCTTGTTGCACAAGCCTAAAGAGAGAAATCATTTTCAGTCTCTTAAATCAAGAATAGCCAAACCATTAGTGTAAAGGGTGAAAGGGATATTACTGAAAATTCCCTCTAGCTTTGTCTATGTCTTCCTAGAAAAATGCATGTGAGCTTTTACAGTTAAATACAAAAATATATTAATTAAGGGATATTTTAATTCCTTGATGAAGGCTACTAAGTCAGAGGAATACTATTAGAAAATGTATAGAGTTGATAGTAGTTACTTTTGAAGAGATAGCTGATACACAGTTACTTGGACTCATAAAAACATTGACACTAACCAGTGAGTGATGTAATTTAATACTTCACATACCTGTTATATGCCTGCCATAAATGCAGCCAGTATGCGGAGAAACAAACTGGGAAAGGAGCTATTTAAAGTTAAGAAATCCAAAGTCAGATTAAGAACACGTTTTAGAGAGCTTTATTTTACTACTTGCATTCTGTTTTTCAGTTTTTGATCTGTTTTTACAAAACTCAGTTCTACCTGGAGACAAAAAAAGTATAGCTTGAAGTTACAGTAGTTTATATGTCATAACAATTAAGGTATATGACAGAGGAATTAGAATTGAGGATTCTTTATTTCATAAACAACAAAATTGTAACACCTGCACATAGGACTAGTAGATTGCACAGCTTATCACAACTACATTATTTGACCCTTATCTGCACACATTCTTACAAGTTTTACACCCCTACACATAGGAATGAATTTTTCATTTTTATCCATGTGAACTTAATACAAATTTAAAATTAGTAAACCAGTTACCTTCATCAAAGCACAGGATTTTTCAAACTCACCTGGACATTCTTGTAGTCCACATTTATTCCACATAAGACACATTTTTTAGGAGGCTCTTTATAGGGGTTCTCCATTTGTATGGGCTGAAATGAGAAAATTATTAACATCTGTCAACTTCACAACAAAATAAGGCATGTTTGTTATTTTTATCTTTTGGGCAAAACGTGACTTGAAACCAAAAGAGGTATTTAGTGTATGATTGAAGTTTTTCAGTAACTTTCTTATCCCTGTAACACACTGATTGGTACCCAGCAATCTAAAAGACTTCTCACAGCTACACAGCCTTTTATTTCTTTATAATAATGACAATGTAACAAGTTAATTTAATCAATCAATAAGATAGTGCTTACACCCTTTACTTAGAAGGCAACGTCTGCAGAAGCTGGTCGTAAGGTAGTTCTGTCTGACAAGTCACAAGAGACTTTTTGAGAATAATTTCAGAATGGCCTGAAGGAGTTCCTGTCTGCCCACACACTTCAACAGAGAGATTCCCAAATATCTCCCAAGCCCTGAAAGGCTCCTTAAGCTTCAGAACACCCCCAGCACCAAACCTTTGTAAGAGATGCGTGGAAGGAAAAATTTCATTTTTGCAGACAAAGGTAGAATTTGAGCAGAGAAAGGATTTTAAAATTTTTTTTGCTAGTACTGGACAACGCATTTTTTGGACAAAACAGCCACACCTAGTGCATTCTCTTAAATCTATTTCTCAGCTGTATACAGGAAATCAGTTTGCACTGCCAAAGGTTTTGCCTCACATTCGAGTCACTGAGGCAGCCCGTTGAAGTGACCACGGTTAAGGTATTGGACTACAGATCAATGGCACCTTCACTTCAACACCTGGTGACTTCACTCAGCACCAAGTTCCTGCCCTGTAACGCACCAAATAACTTAATTCAGTTTTTTCAGGAGCCCGAGCTACATAAAGACCAAAGCAACGCATTTTCAGACACCGCTGCCCGTCCAGAGCCGCTCCTGGCGAGGCTGGCAGCGCCCGGAGAGCAGCAGCAAAGGGAGCTCCGCCGGGCTGCGCTCAGGGCCTCACCTGGTCGGGGTGGCCGG